TTTGGTCTTCAGTTAAAGTATGGTAAGGAACTCCCCGGGAGGCCATAGGTGCAGACTGGGAGAAATAAAGTAATGTGACAGGAGTGGAGACTGTGGGCATTTGGGCCACTTCTTCATGCAGCTTACTTGTCCCTTCAGGTCCTGCTTTGGCCCGATCTCGAATGTACTACTTCCATTTACAGCTTTTGCCTGTCCCCTGTTCGCATAGGGTCCCTCTCTTGACAGCTGGACAGTTGGAAGGAGACCTGGGGGCAGAGGGTCCACATGGGCAGTGAGGTCCTACCTCTTCTGTCCCTCTACACTCCTGCCACTCTTGCTCCCCCACCCCCAGACTTGCCCCCCTGGCTGCCCCCCTGTACCCCCTGACAGCTGGACGGTTGGAAGGAGACCTGGGGGCAGAGGGTCCACATGGGCAGTGAGGTCCTACCTCTTCTGTCCCTCTGCACTCCTGCCACTCTTGCTCCCCCCCCCCAGACTTGCCCCCCTGGCCGCCCCCTGCACCCCCTGGCTTCTTCCTCAGCCTTGCCCCACCCTCTTGACCTCCCTGTCCCACACACATACCTGAACCTGGCCCTCACTCTGGAGCCACAAGAATGGTCACAGGGGCCCCAGGGGGACCAGGCTGACCAGCCGCAGGGCACAGGGCAGCCCACAGGTTCACATCGCACAGCAGCCTGCTCACAGACACTGTGGGTGGGGTGGGGGTGAGCTCAGGCTGGGCTCCACCCAGGACCCCAGCCTGCCTTTGCTACAGAAACATGAATGCTTGGGGAGCAGGGGTGCAAGGTGCGTGTGGGAGGGGACATGGGGGACATGGGGGCGGGGGGGGTGTTCTCCACAGCTGGGTGTGGACTCACCACCAGCTGCAGTTGTCCATTAGAAAGGGCTCCCCAGGGGGCTTCAGCTCCTCGCTCACCAGGCAGGGGCACTGGGAGAGGGGCAGGCAGCTGGAGCTGTGCAGGAGCAGCCCTGGTGGGCAGTAGCATCCTGGGGGGAGGGAGGGGAACATTCAGTTCTAGGGGAGGAGGGGAGGAGACCAGGCTCACTAGCTTCCCATGCTCCTCTGGGGCTCTGTCTGGGGCACCCTCTTCGGGGCCTGCCTCACCCTCAAGACAGTGCCCACTGCAGCTTCTGTTGGCCTCTGGGTCTAGGCAGGAGGTTGGGCATGGGGGCACTAGCCTCTTCTGGCACAACTCAGCACTCAAGTGCACAAGCCCCCACCCACAGTCTGAGGACACAGCACCAGGTTGGGTGGGGGGAGGCGGCACATAGTCAGGGGACACAGCACCAGGTTGGGTGGGGGGAGGCAGCACATAGTCAGGGACACAGCACCAGGTTGGGTGGGGGGAGGCGGCACATAGTCAGGGACATGGCACCAGGTTGGGTGG